TGAATGCAGAGCCAAGAAAAAGACCTGAGCACCTCTGGGTGCAGCTGCCAAACAAAATAAGAACCCCAAACTGGAAATTAAGAAGTTAGAGCAGTACCATGGACATTTCATCAAATGAAACTAAGATACAAAGTAAGGGAATAGATGAAGCCAAAACACATACTTGATCTCTGACTATAGAAGCTTAATTGACAAAGGGCCAGGGGAAATGATGAAAGGTTCAGTGGATGGTTGCCAAAGGACATTGGCATTTGGGTTTGGTTACAGATGTTTTGGAGACGTGTGAAAGTCTACCACTAAAACATATACAATCTTGTAAATCAGTATCACCACAAACACACAACTATATCCGTACGCCAACAAACTGGAAAACCCAGAGGAAATGGCTTAGTTTCTTGAACTATATTCTTTCCTAGATGAAATCAAGAGGAATAAGAAAATCTGAACATACCGATAACAAAGAAACAGACAGTTTCCTTCAAACTAAAAAGTCCAGTACCAGTCCAGAAGTCTTCAGTGCTGAATTCTACCAAACATTTAGAAAAGGTCTACCAAATATCCTTCTATTACTCTAAAGGGAAAAAAAGGGGGGGAGGGAGGGAACAGATCTGAATTCTTTTTACAAATCATGATTACTCTGATACCACAGGCAAAATTTGCACCACACACCCAGATACCTTCCACTATCCCTTCCCCCATATATATGATCAAGCACCACCCTCAAAAAATCCTAATTAATCTCTGGTGAACACTGATACAAAAATCCCCAATAAAATATCAACAAACTATACTCAACAGCACATTAGAAGATCAAAAAACAAGATCAACTGGGATTTATTCCATTAATACAAATATGGTTCAGCATATGTAAAAAATAAGATATCACATAAAAAAGAAAGATAGGATCATCTCTATAGAAGCAGAAAAATATTTAGTAAGATTCAGGATCCATTCATAATAAAAATCAACGTGGGCAGACAAAGAATATACTTAAAACACAATTAAGGCCATGTATACATAAGCATAATTAAGGTCATATAACATTAGCCCACAGCTAATGTCATATACAAGAGTGAAAAATTGAAGGCTTTTCTCTAAGATGAGAGTCAAGAGAAGAATGAGCACTCATCACTATTATTTAACAAAATAATGGATGTTCTGGTAAAAGAAATCAGGCAAATAAAATATATAAAATACATTCAACTTGGAATGCAGAAATTGACAACATTCCCTCCAGCAGTGGATGAGAGTTCCTTTTTTACCACATCTACACCAATGCAGATCAGTACTTCCCACTGCTGCTGGGAATGCTGTCTGGTCCAACCCCTATGGAAGATTCTCAATAAACTTAAAATTGAGCTGGCGTATGATCCAGCAATTCCACTTTTGGGCATTGATGCCCAGGACAGAAAAACATTCATTCAGAGCAACATATTCACACAATTATTCATTGCAGCACTCAGTACAACAGCTAAGATTTAGACTCATCCTAGGTGTCCAATATCAGATCCGTGGATCATGCAGATGTGGTTATATACACAGTGGAATACTAGGTATTTGTAAGGCATGATGAAATCATGCAATTTGTTGCAACATGGAGGGAACAGAGGGTATCTTGCTAAATGAAGTAGGCCAGAAGAACACACACAGGATGGTGTCATTTGTATGTGGGGTATTTAGAGTCACGGGATAAGGACATACCACGGTTTAAGTGTGTATTTCCAGATCACCCTTGGGCCCAGAGTATAGGAAGGAGAAGGAAATAGAGTGAAGGGGAAGGGGAGAAGAGACAGGTGAGAAGCAATGGGAGCAGGGGTAAAGGGAATTCAGGTACATCGGTGGTGTTATGGAATGACGGAGCTAAATGTCCAAACTACATAGTCAACAACACTGAAATCATGAAACCCAAACTTTAATAAACAAATATAAAAGATGCCTGCAAGATGTCAGGCTGGAGATGGGGTTAGGAGAGGGGTCCTGGGAACACTGATAAAGAGAAGTTGACATTGGTGGTGGGATTGGCAATGGAACATTGTATGTCAAAAATTCAACAAAAATCCACCATGAGTTATGAAGTAGAATAACTTGTAACTCACAGTGTTTTAATAAAACAAAATTGGGGGGGGGGGAAGAAATAGAACTGTTACTATATGTATGTGGCATAATATTATACACCAAAAATTTTAAGGACCACTAAGACCTACTGGATATAAAAAACAAATAAAGGAAGTTTAAGGCTGCAAAGTCAATGTACAAAATTATAGGCACCTTTGCTCTAGATACAATAAACTAGCAGAAAGGGAAATGAACTAAAATATCATTTATAGTTGCAATAAGAATATATAATACTTAGACATATATTGAACAAAGAAAAAAACCTATACACTGGAAAGAAATGGAAGATGACACAAAGTAATGTAGAGACTTTTACATTCTCACTGACTTTAAGATCACTATTGTTAAAATGGGCAAATTACCAAATACACAAATTCAGTGCAATCCTTATTAAGGCCAATGGCATTTTTCACACACACACACACACACACACACACACACACACACACACCAAAAAAGAAATTCTAAAATTTGTGCAGAACCATAAAAAACCTTAGAGCCAAACAATTCTGAAGGGGAAAAAAGACCCAAAATGAAGTATCAAGCTTCCTGAATTCAAATAAGACAAAACTGTTGCTGGAATATAAACAGGCAAACCAATTATGGCATAGAATCACAAGCCCAGGAAAAAATAATACCTCTGCATGTATAGGCAACTAATTTATGACAACACAGCCAGTAATACACAATGAAGAAAGAAAATCTTTTCAAGAACAGTGCTAGGAAAACTGGTTACACAATACAAAAGAATCAAACTAGCTAATAATCTCCCACCATCTACAAAAAATTAAAAAGTTAACTCTGGGGAATACCTCAGTGGTTGAGAACACCTGCACTGCAAACATGAGGTCTTGAGTTCAATCTCTGGTGCTGTCACATGTGTCAAACTTGATCCAGACACCTTTGCTCTTTATGCCCTGTAGTTCTGCTGACTATGACCCCTGCCTGGCACTGAAAATGATTCCCAGCTGCACCAAAGCCTGGTGGTTTGAACTACACTGAAAGATGTATGAGCACTTCTTCACACAGACATAAGAGCGACTCCTAGCAAGTATCTGTGGGGACCCCTGGCTAGCAATAACAACCAGAATATGCATGAGGACCAACAAGTACAGAGTGTGACTTCTGGTGAGGCCATGTGTAAGAACCACTATGAAACCAGTGCAGCCTCCGAAATCACCAGCGTCAGGGTACAATACCCCAACCTGATGTATGACCCCCCAGTGTGGCTCGTCACGACTACAACACAAGCAGCAACAACAGTGGGGGCACGAAAAGGGGGAAACACATTTTTTAATTAAAAAATTAAAAATGCATCAATGATTTAAACATAAGACTTGAAGCCATAAAACACACAGAAGAAAACAGAGGTGACAAGCATTGGCCATCAGTCTTGATGCCTTTGTGGACTGATTTCCACTATAAAACAAAAAGAAAAAGAAAGAGACAGGACTCTAGTTCTGCACAGTGTATTAATAAGACAAAAAAAGACTACTGAATAGGAGATACTTACAAACAAATAAGAAAAGGGGTTAATATACAAAACATGTAAATAAGTCATATAACTCAAGAACAACACAAATACAACCCGATACAAAAATGGACAGAGGATCTAAATAAGTGTTTCACCAAAAAAAAGACATAGACTATAGAAGACACACGCAGAGATTTCTTCATTGCTCTTCCTTAGGAAACAAAATTAAAAACCAGTAAGATTTTACCTCCTCCTGTTAAAGATAAAGAAGCTGTGGCAAGGAACAAGGAAACAAAACTTGCCACTTTCAACAATATGAATAGACCTTGAGATTATAGAATGTGAAGTCAGGAGAAAAGTAAATACGGTAGGATTTCATTCATGTTCAAGATAAAGAAACAGAGCAAATGGACAAACAAATCCAACAAATCCTCATGACTCTTACAACACAATGGTGGTTTCTGAAGAGAGGTTCAGGGTGGCGGCAGAATAAACAGAAGGGGTATACTGTTGATGGATGGTAACCAGATTTTTAATAGATAACGGTGATAGATCTTCAGGTATGCTATGGGCATACCTGTGCTGTGTGCCTGAAATTTATTATTGTTATAAATTTATATTACCTCAAAGAACAAAAAAGAAAAGAAAAGACAACCCTTTCAGTTAAAAATCTCTTTATAAACTTTTAAGTTTTTGGAGGTAGGGAGGGAGAACAACTTGTAATGTGGCCCAAGATAAAGCCTGTATGTAATCTCTTTTGTTTTTAAATTACAACTAGTAATATGGAATGATTTTCCCTTTTCCCTTGGTCTCTCTTTGCCCTATGGGGCCAGGTTCAGATTATACCTAGATCATGATCCAAAACCAACCATGAGAGGGTGAAGGGGGTTTAGGAAACTGTATAATGGAAACTACAATGTACTTTGGAGGAAGAAAAAGTGCTTATAATATCAGGGATAAAGGAAAATTAATCATAGTTCAGAATATATATTTCTAGCAATTTTATACTTATTAATGTAGTATATCAATTTGACATTAAGTCTGTTATTTTTGAGCACACAATATCATGTCATATATACAAATCAAATATATCAACAGATGCAGCAATATATAAGAATCAGCTTCCTTTGGTAGAGATAATAACCAACATTCCTACATATAAGCTTTCCTGTTACGTGTATCAGAAGTCAACACAATCTTAAGCAATCATTTATTCTATCTCATTGCTATTAAGAAAACAAACACCAATTTTAAAATAGAATTAAATCTATTCATGCACAGGTCACAAAATAACTTCAATGCAAATTAATAGTACAATAAGAAAAAACAGTTCAACTCAATATTTCAATTACCATTTTTCAGTCTAAACAATCAAATTATCATTCCCAATCCATTAAGAATTTGAACTTACCCTAGGAGGTTGTATAGTTTTCTGATTGGAAGCTGGTATAATAAAACACAAGAGTTAATAAATAAGAAAAACTAATGCAGTATAGTATTCAATTTTAAGATAAAACAATCAGGGCTAATGCTAGAGGTATCAAAAACTCCACTGAAAGAGTTCCAGCTTACTCTATAAAAACACAAAAATTCTGATTACATGCATTGATAGCATAAAGTGCTAATTATCACCAACATTAAATAATATACTGATTTTCTCACTTCTGCATGCAATATAGCCCTTCTCAATATAATTTTTAGGTTTGTGATGGGACGGGGCAAATGTTATCTTCTCCTCATTTCTACCACAGTGACTTTATCTCTCCCTACTCAGCCCACAGTGCCACTTCTACTTCATGACCTATGCTTAGCTCATTTTTGTAGCCTAGTTTTCTTCTAGGTATTACATAAGGGAAGGAAATTTGTGCTACCTCTGGAGGCAGTGCTCGTGGCTACTTGCGGCTCTGTGCTCAGGTGTCTGTCCTGGCAGTCCTCAGGGGCAGTACTCAGACGTGGGTCCAGGCTATGGCACCTGGGCCTCCCACATGCAGAACTCACTTGTCCCACTGAGCCAGTTCTCTGACCCCAGTCTTTTTAAGTGCTTCTATCTATCTAGTCTTTAAAGCTCCAGACAGACAAACTAAAGAAAATATTTAGAGATCACCCCAAATTTAAAGAATTATTCCTAGGTAGCTCGAATTAGCCACAGGAAAGCCTTTCTCTATATACTCCTTGGCTTTCATCAGAGTTATGCTTCTGACTGCATATAAATAAACAAGTTATAGAAGATGAAGGAAGAAAGTGACAAGAGGGAAAGGAGTTGTTCTAGTGTGAAGAGACTTTTTCACAAAAATAAAAACAAACAAAAAGAGCGCCAAAGTAGCCAAGAAGAAAAAACTCTTAAATACAGAATCAGAGTTCTATCCCTCAAATAACCTTCAGTCAGCAACATGTGAATCAATATGCAGAGGGTGCGTACACTAATAGATAGTACTGTGAATTGCACTGGCCTCTGGAGTGGGTGGGAGCCCTGGATTCTCGTACAAGCAGATAAGGGCAGGTTCCAGAGCTGCTTTGGTGTATTCTGCTATTTGTTCATTAAGATTCCTTGCCATCAACTCTATCTAGCATACAAAACTGATGGGAAACTAAGATGCAACCTAACCCAAAGGTTGCCTCAAACGGGGAAAAGGGCAACTGACTTGCCAGAAACAGTCCTGCCAAGTATGAAGAGGTAAAACAAAAACCAATCTGGAAAAGAGGTGATGGGAAAGGAAAGGTGAAAAAGAAACTAAGGATGGGGAAACGCAAAGCTTTAAGCTACAGGTGAGAAAAGCTATCCCTGTGAAGATGTAAATGAAATCTGAAGTAATGATGCACAGAGGAGGCTAAATTAGCTGCCTAGGAGGAAAGGACCTGAAAAGGGAGAAAGAAAGTAACTAACAGGAAAAGATTCTTGCTACTGAGAGGGCCACATGAGGACTCAGTGCTGAAGAAACACATTGCGTTCTTACAGTTCCTTAACAACTTACTGTGCCACTTTCTGGGAGACCCAGTTGTGTTACTCCTAAGAGGTTTCCATCTCTTGGTGTCTGCTGCTTTGAAATACACCTCCCTTTACTGGAAACTCCTGAGAATTATTTGGTCCTTAAAACCAAATACGTAGAAAACCATTTTGTATACTTACATGGATAAAATGGGTAGGGAATGTGAGTGAAGTCACATTCAAAGTTCTCTCAAACTAAGCCAAACTGCAGAACTTAATAAGGGAATTATCATGATAGTTTGGTGCACATACAATCTACCTCCACTAACTCAAAGCCCATATCATTTTATCCATCAAGAAAAAAAGAGAACTGTACTACATGGAAAGTATCATATTAAGCGAAATGAGGAAGAAAGAGAGGGACAGACATTGAAAGATTGCATTCATCTGGGGAACATAAAGTAACAAAATAGGAGACTAAAACCCAAGAAGAGCCGAGATACCAGGAGGTTTACTCCATGGCTTGGAGGCCAGCCACACAGGCTAGGGGAAAAGGGAGCTCAGACAGAGAAAGGAGCACCAAATAAAGGGTGTTGGGAGGATCCTCCCAGAATGGGAGAAGCATGCTTAAAGCAGACTATAGACCAAACATGATTGCCACTCAATGCCTCTTTTGCAAACCACAACACCCAAAAGGAGAGAGAGAACAAAAGGGAATGCCCTGCCACAAAGGCAGGATGGGGGGTGGGAGGGATACTGGGACCCGTGGTGGTGGAAAATGGGCACTGGTGGAGAAATGGGTGTTTGATCATTGTATAATTGAAACCCAAGCACAAAAATTTGTAAATCTACAACTGTACCTCATGGTGTTTCACTAATAATAAAAAAAAAAGAGAACTGACTAGTTACTTTAGTTTCTGATTCAGAATGGAGAGGATCAGAGATAAACTTTGACTCACTTATTTGGTTAATATGGGGAAGGGGGAGCTTCCAAGTGAGGCTGAGGAGACCTGGAGCCCTCATCAGTGATTTCTGACCAAGTGGATTGATGGTTCAATGAAAAGGCTCCAGAATGCTGCTCGGGCCCTGGATGCCAGGATATGATCCATGGATCATCTGACAGTGCTGGGAACCACCAGGTCTGCACCTGCCAGAGATGACTGGGGGATCATGAGGTGCTAGAAAGAAAACTCACTCATGTACCCTAATTCTGTACTATACTTAGGACCAAAATCTTAAAAGCCTTTTTAGGATGAGTATTGAGAACTGCCAAAGCACTGTTTGTTTGTTTTCATACGCTCAGAATATTTTTTGAAGAATAGTTTTAGGTTCTAATTCTCAGATCCAAAGAATGTCATGCTTGGCTAGTTCATTCTGGAATCAAAAAGAGAAGAGATCTATAAAGATCTATAATAAAATGGTGATTCAAAAGGACACCAGTCAGCTATGATCCCCCAATGTTATAAAACTAAACAATGTAGAAGTTAATTTTGCTTGATTTATTCCTCTTCTATGGGCCTATGACCTATGTGACAAAAACGTGACTCTAATTTATCTGCTGCTACCATGAACATAAAGCACTGACAGCCAACATAAGGAAGACAGATGAATCTTATTGACAGCCAACAAGAAGACTCATTTGTCCTCATCATGAGACAAGAAAATATCACTTAATTGCATATCTATCTGCATGTATTTGTGTGTGTGTATGTGTGTGTGTGTGTAAAATGTCGATATATTCAAAGTCATTCTAAAATATTTTAAATACAGTAAATATGGTTTCTGACTGGTAGGTCAATTTTTATAAACATATGATTCTACCTTCTTATGCTGAACAAGTAGTAGTTTTGAAAAACTACTACTTGTTCAGCATAAGAAGGCAGAATCAATCATAACATAAATACTGTAGGTAAAAGGTAAGCACAAAGTAGTGAGTTTTATTATAGTTCCCTCCTACACTCCCACACATCCCCCACTCCACTGTTGTTTTTGTTCCACACTCAGCAAGACTTGGGGATCTGTGCTAGGGTGTCCAACTTTGTGCCTGAGGGGTCACCCACATGCAAGGTAAGTGCTTTAACACCTCTGTTATCTCTCCCGACCAGTTAAGAGTCCTTTTTAAATAATCTATCATGTTTTTAGAGTCACTGTTCCAAACCCAATTTCATTTTTTAAATATTAGATGTTTTCAGTAAAAAATAAACTACAAAGAAATTCATTATAGTTTTTTTAAGGGCCATAAAAAATGAAAGTTGCAATCTAACTCTTTACAGTAACAATTAAGGCTGCAAATTTAAACTGGGAAAATAATGAATACTCTGTTAATATTCTCACTGGGACATTAGTTTATTCTTAAAGAGTTAGTCTGAGTATTAATTATTACTTTTTAATATCAGAGATGTTTATTGCAGTTCAGTGAAGACAATCAGTAGCTATTTCCAAAACAGAACATCTGCAATGGAGTAAAAAGTATTTTGGAAGCACAATTTTTACTTCCTACATAAAAGCTCAAATCTGCAACCTTAATGTTACCTATATTCCATGTAGACATTCCGCTTATCTAACAAAAACACATTAATTTTCCTAATCTACCACATTATCTAAAGAGCAGCTTTCCTGTACCTTTTCTCTTCTTCCCTTTCAACTGACCGAAGGTGTTTCTCTGTATTCTGACAAGTTGATTTGAAAAGTTAATTTAGAATATTCTTAACATGGTGACAAAACTGGACTAAATACTTAACTTATATATATGTTAAAGATATATTAGTATTTATATAGTTAAATATTCAGTATGTTTTATATATATATATATGCTAAACTATTGAAAAAGAAAAATAACTTTGAGAACATTTCGGGATTCCTCTTTGGTTTGACTTTAATGTGAGGCCACTGTAATGATCTTGGTTTGACAGGCTTCTTAGAGAGTAAGCAATGGGAAGGAGAACAAGGTCAAAAGGTCAGTGCTAAACTATGTCTATTTCCACCTGAATCAGCACTCTAGACTTACTACTGGCAACTGTAGTGACATCATGATTGGTTCGATGTGGAAGGCATGTGGAACATGGAAATACAAGAAGGATAACTCAGATAATAAGGGGATTAAAAAGAAGCAGATCTGACCATCAGTCAAAGACACCTAATACTGCATTGCTTTGTATGGATACTGAAGGTCACACACTGTTCTCAAATATTCAGAGGGAGCAACATAATTAGAAGTGCCATCTTCGAGAACCAAGCAAATGGTGATTAGAAGACTAGACAAAAATAGAATATGTATCAGCATTCATAATGTGATGCCCATAGTCGCTACTAACTGAATACTATTCTACTTTAGAAGCCTTAAATTTTATTTCATTAGCTTTGAGTCATGAACTAAGAACATTTCATTGAGAAAACAACTGACGGGTGAACACAGAAACTAAGAATGGGTTGTATTAAAGAGGGACAAAAATATTTAATAGAATTAAACTATAATCAGCATGTTGAGAAATGAATGTTAATTTCTTTGAAATTGCTGTATCAGTTATATGGGAAATCATTTAATGTATAATAATTGACGGTTTATATTATTTCTCAGAAGCACGTTTTTCATACCTAAAGAAAAGTGAAATACTGATTTCTTTTACCTCCATTAACTTAAAAAATGTTTAAGAGTTTGTTTTGCTTAACAAAGTACTTTTCCTTTAAGGGTGATTAAGCAGACAAAGATTAAGTACTAGGGAACATACTTATATCTTAAGTATAACAATATACCAGTCTAGTGATAGACACTATTAATAGTTTCGGTACTATTAACATATCTGTAAGGATGCATTAGAAATGGAAGTTTATATAGAAATCCATTTTCTGAAATTTTTGCATATTAAATACAAGTTTTACAAAGAATAAATTAATTCCACACATATTGAAAATAGATTTTAAGTATCATAAAAGACTAAATTTTATAAATCAATGTCTGATTTCATTGGTTTTCACTAAAAGATATTTCAAAGTATCAAAGGATACTACAATAAAAGTGACACTATAATAAAATTTTGATAACTTGTTTAGAGGAGTTCTATTATATAAACAATGGTCCATTTTAAAACATGTTAATTAAAATAAATCTTCAATAATCTCTTTTACTTAGTACAAAATCTATATATATATAACATAAAGCCCTTTATTTTAAATCTAATGAATAGTTTAACTTTTCACTGATCATATAACTATATTCCCCTTTTATTACTCCCAATTCATTCTAACTTAATTATACAAAAATATAGTAGCATTCATTATATCTTCTCATTTTAGAGTTACTAATGTGCTTTTTGGTTCTTAACTAAAGAGTCATTCAAAATCATTTCAAAGTTATTTATCTAAAATTCTTAGGAAAGGTTAATAAAATATAAGGTTGACTTACCAACAAATTTCATATATACTAATCCAAGTAATTCTGCTAGAGCTATAATACCCAAACCTGTAATCAGAAGCGGGCCATGCACTGGGGTGCACTCTGTGAAAAGAAGTGAAATTGTACATTGCAAGTCTCCAAGACAGCACTATTTTCCAAAGTCACTAACAAGAATATAAAAACAATACATTTTATGTAAATAAATTTCAATGATCAAGAAACAAAAATTTTGTCTTTATGTGTCTTTTCAGTAAGCAAAATGACTCCAGTAATTAAAAGAAAAAAGTTTTTATTTGCAGATCATTTATCACACCACAACTTGCCAAATACGTATAACAGTGTGTAACAAAGTCCAAAGCTCCAATCACTGGAACCTGATGACTTTTTCCTTTCAGGGATGAGGTTCTTTGCACTATACTCGACAGCTCTCAACTTATTCCTGGTTCTGTGCTCAAGAAACCTTGGCCCTGGGTGCTTGGGGGACTAGATGTGGTAATAGTAGTCAAACAAGTGTTGACCATAACAAGGCAAGTACCTACCTTACCCCCTGTGCTATCTTTCTGGTCATAGAGTCTGAATGTTTTAAAAAGTTTGTACAAAAATATAGACATGGCAGTTTTGCAGCTAGAACAATTTATAGAAAGCCAAATTGTCATAACAATGTGGAAAATAATTATTTTCAATCATACTTTTAAAATATTTTATATAATTATAATCTTCTGTAATATAAAAAATACTCTCAGTATAGAAAAATCAGAGTTAGAAAAAAAAGCTCCTAACAGCAAAAGTTGGCGAGGATGTGAAGAAATAGGAACTTCCATGCATTGATTAAAGAAATGTGAAATGGTACAACTACTATGAAAAGTCTGGCAACTTGCTACAAACTAAACATATTTTAATATACAATCTAGCAATAGTACTATGTCCACACAGAACATGCACATGAGTGTTTACAATAGTTTTATTTAAAATATGAAAATCAAAAGCAGCCAAGATATTCCCCTCACTTGCTACATAAAGAGTGGCGTGATCCCATAATATAGTATTATTCAGTGCTTTAAAAAAAAGAGCCAGAAAAAGACATGTTACTTAAATTCATGTTAAATTCATGTTGCTATGTAAAAAAAATAAGAGAAGGTAGTATGATTCCTAATACAAGGCACTCTGAAAAATACAAAACTCTAAAGACTAAACTGATCAGAGGCATAAAAAGAGTGGATGAATAGTTAACACATAGAGTATTTTTAGTGCAGTTAACTTTTTTTGTATGATATTATGTCTCTGATCCATAAAATCACATACATGTGATAATCACAGAATGTACAGCATCAAGTGAACAGTAATGTAAATCATGGACCATGAATAAAAATGGTATATTAATACTATTATTTATTATTTGTTACAACAATTGTAACAAACGTTTTACTCTGGGGGATGATGTGGATAGTGGAGAAGATTGCAGAGTAGGGGTGTGTGTGTGTGTGTGTGTGTGTGTGTGTGTGTGTGTGTGCGTGCGTGCGGTGGGGGGGGGATATGATATGTACTTCCCACTCGATTTTGCTAGGAACCTAAGATAGCATCAGAGAAAGAAAGACAGAGAGAGGAAAATATTCTGTACTAGAGAACAGTATGACCTTTACCTGAGACGCAGAGGCTTAGTCCAACCAAAGCGAGCACATAGCCCAGCATCTGAAGGATCAATATGGCAATGGTAAAGGAGGTTATCCCAATAGCTGGAGAAAGGAAAAAGCATGGTGAGAATCATAAGGAAGTAATCATTCCCAAACTTATCTTCTATTATCAAGAATAATAACCTCTGGCCTTAACAGTATTTTATAATTCATTGTCAGACAGCAGGTACTTCCTGAATGATCTAAAGCTTTACCTTTTATAGATGTTAGTTCCAGATTGGTATATTCAGCCATCCTTTATTTTTACAGTGAGCTGAGCTGGACAGGAAGTCTCAAGACAAAATCTTGGAACAATGTTGTTGCTTTTACCAAATTTTTGTACTTTATATTATGAATGACTATTAAGCATGACTTTGATGCGCCACACAAGGTTGTTTTAGTGGAGGGAGTCAATAACCAAACATGCCATTGTAAACATGATAACCTCTAACTTGCACATCTAGATCCTCTGTCTAATAATGAATGAACAACTTTCCGATGAACAGCAATAGATATAGGCTCTATGGCCATGAGCTAAATGAGCAAATAGAAAAAGATACTCTTATATGAAAGATATGTTAATCGTTTACTCCCAAACTACATTGAAAGTGACACCAATTATAGACTGGATGTCTAAACGAAAATGGTAAAACTGACCAATAACTGAAACAACATAGCACAGCGGTAGGGCATTCGCCTTACAAGCGGCCAACATGGCCGACCCGAGTTCGATTCCTCCGCCCCTCTCGGAGAGCCCGGCAAGCTACCGAGAGTATTCATATGCCAGACACAGTAACAACAAAGTCTCCAATGGAGACGTTACTGGGCCCGCTCGAGCAAATCGACGATCAATGGGAGGGCCTTTACCTTTTTTTACCTTTATGATTTATAGCCCTATTTGTAGAACTAGTTTTTCTTAAATTTTTTCAAGAGAAAGGCATATTAGCATAGCAAGAGATCATGCTTAACTTAGAATTTAAAAAACTGAAATGAGGTTGGAATGATAGTACAATAGGCGGGGCATTTGCCAAGCATGCAACTGACCCGGTTTGATCCCTAGCACCACAAACGGTTCCCTGATCCAAGAGGACAGAGTCAGGGTAAGCCCTGAGCATTGCTGAGTGGGTACCAAAAAAATTGAAAACAATTAAAATTTAAATATGAACATTAAAATAATTAAGAGATCATGTGGAAACAAATGTACTAAATAACATATAACATGAATAAAGATGATTTTTTTTTTTTTTTTGGTTTTTTGGGTCATACCTGGCAATGTTTACTCCTCGCTCGGCACTCAGGAATTACTCCTGGCAGTGTTTGGGGGACCATATGGGATGCTGGGAATTGAACCCCAGTTGGCTGCATGCAAGGCAAATGCCCTACCTCCTAGCACTAAAGACTTTTTATAAAATAAATGCATGCCTTGAAAACAGGCTAACTTAAAGTCAATCCAAGGGGAAAATGTCACTAAGAACAGCACTGTCTTCCCATTGTTCATCGATTTGCTCAAGCGGCTCCAGTAACATTGTGAGACTTGTTACTGTGTTTGGCACATCAAATATGTCACGGGGAGCTTGCCAGGCTCTGCCGTGCAGGTGAGGTACTCTCGGTAGCTTGCCGGGCTCTCCGAGAGGGGTGGGGGAATCGAACTCAGGTCGGCCATGTTGAGTGCGTGCAAGGCAAACATCCTACCCGCTGTGCTATCGCTCCAGCCCCATCACTAAGAATAGTTTGGGGAAATCTTTTAATAAACTTTTGCTAAATTTTATTTATTTATTTACTGCTTTTTGGGTGACAACCGGTGATGCACAGGGGTTACTCCTGGATTTGAACTAAGGAATTACTCCTGGCAGTGCTTGGGTGAGCATATGAGATGCTGGGAATCGAACCCGGTTGGCTGTGTGGAAGGCAAATGCCCTACCCACTGTAATATCACTTGAGCCCCTTTCAATAAACTTTTATTATATAAAAAATATGTTTTAGCTAAAAATGCTATTTTTGATTATGGGAGGGGGCATCCAGGCAACAATCAAGAGACCTGAGGGCTCCTCCTGGTGATTGCCAACAGGGCCTGTGATTTAACGCAGGGATTGAAATGCAGAGCTGCTCAGCCCCACTATGGGGCCACACCTGCTGGTGTGGCCTGGGGGTCCTTGAGACTAAACTAGTGCAGCTTGGGGATCTCCAGAACAATACTCCAAGACTGCAGGAGATCTTGTGGTCCTGAGGATCTAGCTGAGATCAGCTATGTACAAACATCTTAATTCCAGTATTAAATCTGTAGTTCCTAACAATGCTTTTTTTTAAAAAAAAAATAAGTTTTTGGACCTCAGCCAGCAGTGCTCAGGGCTCACTCCTGGCTCTGCACTCAGGATCACTCCTGCAGGCTTGGGAGGGAAGTGAACGCAGATTGGCTGAATGCAAGGCACATGCCTTACCCACTGGACTATGCCTTTGACCCCACAATGCTATATATAAATTTTTAAAAGTGTACAAGATTATACTATTACCATAGATACTCACCTAACATTAAAACACAGTACTGAAGTAATATTAGTATCACTGCAGGAATTACAATTAAACCAAGTCCAGAAGCATTTTTTGTTGAATATTCACCTGTTAGTAAGTAAAAAGAATCAAAATGATCTTCTATATATTTCTGATTATATAGGAAGTGAAAGCACTTACTTTATTAAACGTATTAATATTAACTGTATAAACTATGAAAGTATTAAAGATGAATGAAGATATGTCTCATCTTACCACAACTTATTTTATTGGATTTCATAAATATTACATTTCTTAGAACTTGAAAGTCTGTGGTAAAAACCCTATGCTAAGCAAGTTTATCTGTGCCTTTTCCCCAACAGCATGTGATGATCATTAAGATAAATATTTTTTAATTAAGGCAACTACAATTTTTCCCCAGACATAATGTTACTGTACACTTACGAATACAACTTTGGGATGCATTGTAAAATAGTGCACATAACTGACTTGCTGTGATGTTTGCTTTATTGTGACAATAGGGACCCAGGCCCATGATATATCGAAGGTGTGCCTATTCTTTCTCAAGGTTTCACCCAAAATAAGTGGCAACACTCTTATGATTAAAAATCAAACTTAAAATATTGAAATATCAGTATCTTAATCTCTACCTGCTAAAACTTTAAATTGTTTCTGCTGTCTTATTAGGTTCATAGCTTCCCAACTATAGGTTTCCAGATGAGAAATTGGAACATCTGTTCTGTTCTCTTCATTTGCTAAAAGCAAAGTCAAAACAGTTTTTCTTGAAAATTGTCTTCTGAATTCCTCTCCTTTTACCCCATGCCCGTACTAACTCCAGTTGTAGAGGGTTGTAAGTGCGTGTTACCTGAATACGATACTTTCTACTGTGCAAAATAACAATGGCATTCTATGTCCTGCAGTTGTAGCCTGGCTCATCTCCACCTCTGCTTCCATGTGCTACCCTCATTTCCCATTCCCATTCCCAACCTCCAGATGCAAATGATATTTCAAACAGAGGTGTTTTCCAGTAAGTCCTATTTCCGTGTAGGGCGTGTGTATGTGTGTGTGTGTTCGTGCTGGTGGAGGTGGTCGGAGGTAACATGGTTCACAATTGTGTTGGCCAGGGAGGTCACTCAGCAATAGAACATTTGCTTTGTAAGTGTTCTCTGTAAGTGTAACTCTGGATTCTCTGTAAGTGTAACTCTGGGTTCTATTCCCAGAACCATGAGAGAATAAACAAACAAATAAGTGGTGTAAATATTTGTGCTCTAGGCATACAAAGTTATTACATCATATCTACCATACTATAGTGTCAACATTCCTCCAAAATCTTTGAGTGGTTTTTTGTTTGTTTTTCTGTTCCATTTCTTAACTATTGAAGGCCACCTTTGTAAGGACTTCAATTTATCCCAAAGATCTATCTTCTAATGCCTGTAATCTATATCAGTTTGTATGACAAGAGAGTACATATTATATTAAAAAGCAAAAAATATGAGTACGTTACTATCTTTGAGTGTTTTTTTTTTGTTTTTCTGTTCTTTATGCTTTTTGGACCACAGTCAGCAGTGCTCAGGATTGACTCTGGCACTCAAGGTTCATTCCTAGTGGAGCTCGGGAGACCATATTGTGTATTGGTTGTTGAACCAGAGTTGGCTGTGTGCCCACACTACAATCTATCCGGTACGGAATAAATCAAGATCTTGAAAGGATGTACTTATTCTGGATTATCGAGATAGGTCCCTACATGTGATGAAAAGCATCTCTGTAAAAGAGAGGGAGCAGGAGAACTGACCCAGACACAGAAGGAAGAAGAGGCAATGATACTATGGGAGAAAAGACTAGAGTCACACTATCACAAGCCAAGGAGCTGCCAAAATGGCCAGCTAAGAGCAGAAGCTCCAAGAGGCAAGGAACTGATTAACCCTAGACTCTCAGGCGAGGGAATGGCCCTGATGGCAATGCTACTGAAGACTTAAGGTTTCCAATACAGTAGGAAGTTTTCTTTTGTTACTGGGACCTTAGGATACCAATGACTCCTTCTTACTCTCCAACCAGGCAAGCTCTTAAATGCATCAATCTTCCACCATAGTAACTGTACATCTTACCTGGGACGAAAAGAATGGCTCCAACGACGACAATTATAGTGAGAGCTAGTCCAGCAACAAATAAAAGAATGGTTTTCTCCCTTGGATGACTGGATTTATACTTAAGTGCTAGAAGAAAACAATACAGAATTATATGAACTCAAGCGCAAGAAGCGAAGTCATTTCTGTAACTTAAAATAGTACAGAAGGAAACTTGATAATTTAGTATATCATTGAATAACTTTTGAAGAACAACTCTGCTATTCTCAGTTTAAGTCATCTCAAATCTCTGTTGTCAGTGGATGAGTATCATGAAAGTACAAGCATGGATGTTAAATACATTTGGGGTGTTTGATTACATATTTTCAAATTTCCCTTCTTCCCTCTTCTTTTGTTATTGCAATGACTAAAGATTGCAACCAGTTATGATGCTCACATACGTGATTTCTGTACTCACCATACAGTTAGTTGCAGCGTTTGCATACTTGTAGTTTTAGACTCCAATTGGCAGCACTGCTGGGATTATGCTTAGTGTATGTGGGTCACTGTGGGAATCAAACTCTTGGTCTCAAACTCGCAGATCAGGTACTATACCACTGAACTACTAACATTTTATGTCATATTGTTCTTTCTCAACTGAGGCGTTATTAACATCTGGAGCCAGACAAATCTTGGCTGGGGTGCTGCTCTTGCATTATAGAATGCCTGTTAGCACTCTATAATGCCCCCTGCATTAGTTTTCACTAATAATCCACTAATAAGCCAATCAGGGCATTCAAGCCCAATACATCAGGATGCTCCGTGAGCTGTATTGCAGATTCACTACCAGGATCTCACCATTCTACAAAGAAGTGATCGTTGATGTCAAGAGAGGTGTGCGGCAGGGTGATACCATTTCACCAAAACTCTTCAGTGCCACCCTCGAGAACATCATGCGACGACTGGAATGGGAAGGAATGGGAGTGAAGATAGATGGCCGGCAACTACACCACCTCCGCTTTGCTGATGACATTGTTTTAATAACACCAAACATCAGCCAAGCGGCACAAATGCTGGCCGACTTTGACCGTGAGTGTGGAAAGGTAGGACTACAGCTGAATCTCACGAAGACAATGTTTATGAGAAACGGTCTTGTTCCTGACGCCCCATTCGCTCTCAATGGAACGACCATCTCCGAATGCAACAGCTATGTCTACCTAGGTCGAGAGGTCAACATGACAAATGACCTGGCACCCGAGCTGCGCAGGAGGAAGAGAGCGGCTTGGAACGCCTTCAAGAACGTCGAAGAAATAGCTAAGAGGACGAAGAACCTCCGGCTCCGGGCACATCTCTTTGATTCCACTGTTCTTCCTGCATTAGCATATGCCTCAGAGACCTGGGCCCTACCCAAACAAGATGAGAACGCTATTCAGGTCTCCCAAAGAAGAATAGAAAGAGCTATGCTTGGAATATCACGTTTCACTCAAATGAGAGAACGAATCCGGAGTTCTGACATCCGTCGACGATCAAGGATCAGGGACGCTGTCTCATTTGCCAAGGTGTCGAAAATCAGATGGGCTGGTCACGTAATGAGATTTAAAGACGACCGTTGGACTAGAGCTGTTACTGATTGGATTCCTCGGGATGTCAAAAGACCGCGTGGCCGCCCACCTACCAGATGGTCAGACTTCTTCGTCAAGATCATGAACGATCGGTTTGAGGCCCTTCATGTTCCCGGAGCGAACAGATGCCATTGGGCTACACTAGCACGCGACAGGGACAAATGGAGACGTTACTGGTGCCCGCTCGAGCAAATCGACGACTAACGGGAAGTTAAGTGATTAAGTGATTAATAATCCACTGGTTGAATCACTCAAAAATGTTTCCAGACTCTATCTAATGTCTGGAGGAACAAAACTGCCTCTAGTTTACAATTAACATGCATAGTGCTGTTAAGAAATAGATGGCTGCCAATAATATCCAGAGAGAACTTTTATCTACTGCATATAAAATTTGTCAAGAATCATAAATATGTGTATTTTTCAAAGAGAGGGCACACATTTCTGTACTCAGGGGTCAATTCCAGTAGTGCTCAACAGACTATGTGGTGCCAGGATTCAAACGGGAGCCTTCTGCATGCAAAGCATGTGTCGAGTCTATCTGTCCAAATCAGACCCTCTTGAAACCTTAATGAGGAAAAACATTTACCAGACTCAATGAAAATAAGTGCATGGAAATAAACTATAAATACTCAATGGAACTCACCATACATGCTATTGTTTTTGCTCCGGGGGTGGGGAGGTACACCTGCTGGTGCTGCTCACAGACACGGTTACTATGCTCACCCAAAGCCAGAGTTGGTTGTGGGGTGTGCATACTTTAGGTTTTACTCTGCACTCAGGAATCATTCCTGGCAGGGCTGAGGGAGTAAGAGAGGGTGCTGGGCTCACAACCTCGGGCTGTCTGCATCCTAGTCAAGCACTGTTGTACTATCACTCTGGCCCACTCAAGCTACTGATTTTGAGACCACCTCTACTGCCAAATATCATGTTCCTTCCCTGAAAGAATAAAGTAACTTAGCACTTCGCAACTGGGAACTTGGTACCAGATGGCCTTCCATGGAGCCCAGAATATCCACGAGTACAAAAATGAATATGTAAACTCAGGCCATAGCATTAAGACTAGGAGTCCAACTTTGTGGGGGGAGTGGGGAGTTCACAGAAAGGAAATGTTTGCAAGGGGAAGACCATGGTAGGGAAAAAAATGTTGAGAAACACTGATTCAGCACATAAACCTAAAAAATTTACCTTTCTTATATTCACTTTGGAGGTTCTATTTTAGTTGATATCAAATTTAATTCTACCAGGAAAGTTGTTAAAAGTAAATCTAAAAAAAGAGTGAGCAGCAAGGCAGAATGCATACTGAAATACTGCTGTGTTTCTCCATGACGGGTCTTAACGGGCACCTAAATCACGCAAAACTATACTTAACACTTATTGGCTTCAACTAAAATGAGAAGAAAGGGGGGCGGGGACTGGGAATATGGCTTCAGCAGCAGCGCACATGGGAACCCAGGACTCTGCCCAGGCCCTGCATGGCCTCCAATACTCTCAGGCATGGCCATCGGGGTCCTTCAGCACCACCAAAGAACCCCCACAAAAATAAAATTTTAAAAATTTTTTAAGAAAAATACTTTCCTGGGTCCAGGGGATGGTCCAGCACCTTAAAAACACGTGTCTCTCAAGTGTGAGTTCACTCCCTGGTCCCACTCGTTTGCAGGGAACACAGTCCTAGAGACTCTGCTGACTGTGACCCTGGGCAGTCCAACAGAGTGTGAAGTTCCTGACACACAGTCTGGCGTGGGTAAGTCCCCCTAATTAGTGTGTAGGTGATACCTGGCAAGCACTGCACACTGTATGCTGTGGAAAGGAAGTGCCGCAACTGGTGAGCATATTAGTGAGCACCACAGCAGCTACAACCAGAATGTGTGAGAGCACAACTGAATGTCCTGGGAGCTTGATGCAATTACCACAACCAAAGGTATGATCCCTGGTTATCACACCAGCAGCATCAAAGAGAAGGGAAGGTGGGGGGAGGGGGAGAACGATAACTCAAATAAGTGAAAAATAAATGATTATTATGAAGCCTATGCCAAAGGTAACTGAGTTATTTTTATAATCTAGAGCTATGCTGTTCGTGCTGTAATAGGCACCCAAAGATCTTTAAAATCTCCACTTACTCATTTTTTTTTTGCATCATATCCAGCTATGCTCAGGGGTTACTCCTGGCTCTGCACTCGGAATTACCCCTGGCGGTGCGTGGGGGACCATATGGGAGGCCAGGGATCGAACCCAGGTCGGCTGCGTGCAAGGCAAACTCCCTAACCGCTGTGCTATCGCTCCAGCCCCTGTTACTCATATTTTAAACTATACTCTCACTTAATTTTCTTTCATGGGAGAAGGAGGCTTAAAGCGGTAATTGATGGTGAAACTAAGCTGAAATTTACATTTATCAGAAAAGACTAAGGACCATATGGCACGTTCCCCCAAGCTCTCATACAATATATATAGCCTTGGAACCCACATACCTCTGACTCAGTAAGGTTTCTGCCTTCTGAGAGGGCACAGGTTTCCAGAGCTTTCCTATTTTCTAGGCTCAAAATCGAGTAGAATAATATTCAGTGTATATGTGACAAAAGGCAGAGACACAAATAGAAAAAGAAACTTTCTCAAGACACATGTCAGGCTTTCCATTTTAATCCCAGGTATATTGTTATCTAAATAGAACTTGAAAGTTCTGCAAAAGGATTATAAAATAGAAGCTGTTTCAAATGTACCTCGCAATCAATCAAACATTCATAGAAGACTCTTTAAGGTTTAACTCAGTACAAAAAAGTGCTACTGAGATCAGACAGCAAGAATTCACCTTAGAGTACAGTAGAAGTTCATGCCAAAAGGCTGTATTATACCATTTTCAACTGATACAAAACTCAACCTCTTCAAGGCTTAGAAAGGAATATAGGAGAAAAAATAATGCCTAACAGTAGCAAAAAAAATTATATATATACATATATCACAAAATACTACTGTTGACAGTGTTTTACTATAGAATCACTATATTTGAAACCCTTACTTATATATAAGACACACTGCTGTTGATTGGTTTAATCACAACATCTGTAAAAAGCTATACAAATACAAATTCTTCCTTTTAATAAAGTAAACATCTCAATTACTGGGGTCCACTTAAATGACCTTAGGTAATAAAAATAATATGTCCTTAGGCAACATAAGAGTACATCCATGTTTGGTTTGTCTGTGAACCTTCTTTAAGAAGCTTCTTTAGATTTAGTTCTTTTGCTTGCAGAGTAAACATGTTAGCAGGTCTCAGCAAGGTGAGAGAGTAGCTTTTTGGTGGTAACCCCAGTGTCAATTTGTTTTTATTTTTTTTGGGGGGGTCAAACCTTGTAGTGGTCAGGGCTCACACCTGGTGGGAGGCTCAGAGGACCATATGCAGTGCTAGGGATCCAGTCAGGGTCAGCCACATGCAAGACAAAAACTAAAACCACTGTACTAATCTCCAGCCCTGTCATTTTTTTTAATGCAGCTATATGGTTGCGAACTGGATGAATAAGCCACAAAACCAATAAT